AAAATTTTATTTTTACACCTTTGGAGCGCTACCTCTACGCAATTTGGTATACTATGCCGATAAGCACCAGGCAGAGACAACAGTAAGTCAAGTGAAAGACTATTTTTTTTATATATATATTTTATATATAGATACACAAATACACACACACACACACACATATATATACATACATACATATAAATAGCGAGGGCTTGCACTCCTGGTGTAATCCTGTGGTGCCGGGTGCTGGTCTGGCAAGGATCATGTACACATAGCAGAAATGACCGCACTCCAAGGACTTTATAGAGATTTTCAAATAAAATTTAACTTTTATTCAATCCATTTAAAAAAAAAAAAAAAAACTTTTTAAATGGATTGAATAAAAGTAAAATTGTATTTGAAAATCTCTATAAAGTCCTTGGAGTGCGGTAATTTCTGCTATATATATATATTTTTTTTTTTTTTATTTGTGTTAGGTGCTTATGTTAGTACAGTATATAATACCATAAATAAATGTAGGATAGTAAAAGAGCAAGTCGGTTGTGGTGTGCCGGAACCGACGATGAGGTAGGCCTGAGAAAGAAGAGGGCCCGCCCAGGAAAAGAAATAGAAAGGAAATAAATGTTAAAAGTGGTGTGGTTGGAGGGTCATTCAACGCTGACATCGAACGGTAAGGAGCCAGGTAAGGGGAGTGCCTTAAGTAGGCTAGGGGTAGCAAACCAGCACCTCCCACAAATCCAGGCAAATTGCCTTAATACTTGTGTTAGGTGCTTATGATAGTATAGTGTGAAATACCATAAATAAATGTAGGATAGTAAAAAGAGCAAGTCAGTTGTGGTGTGCCGGAACCGACGATGAGGTAGGCCTGAGAAAGAAGAGGGCAAAATTAAGTAATAAAATTTATTACAGACAACCAATACATATACATTTTATCAACCAGACATGTTTTTGAAAGCATCCCTTAATTCTTGTACTGGGTTCGGTATGTACTGCGAGTAAGCGGATGACTTCCAGCGCCCCAGTGTTTTGATAACATGAGTTGGGATGTTGACACTGGAGGTTGTGGACGCGGCTCCTATACGAAAGGAGTGCCCTGAGTATTTGGCTGCGTTGAGGCCCAGTTGTGTGAGCAAGGACCTGACGTAGGTCATGAAGGTTGTAGTGGTGAGTACTGCATCTTGTAGCTGTAGTAATGGTTGTGAGGGCAGTAAGTTATGATGCTGTATGTAGGCATCAAGAACCCTGACGGGACACCACATGTTGTGCGTGGGATAGTACGGTATGTTTACGGGTATGTGCTGACTGGTTTTGGAGTGAGGTAAAGTCAGGATGTAATGATCCATATGTTTTGTCAAGTGAGAATAGAGGAGGAACGGAGTGGTTTGATTCGTGGAGGTTGTAGTGAATTCTCTAGGTCTTAGAAATCCATAG